TCGCTGGGCCAAATGGCTTGTGTACACACTGCAGGGATTCTACGATTCCTATGAATGTCTCTCTGTTTGACTTCCCAGGACCCTACCTATAAATCCTGCTCTGATTTGCCTTACCAAAATGCAATACCTCACATTTATCTAAAATAAACACTTTCTGCCACTCCTCCTCTCATCTGATCAAGATGTCGTTGTACTCTGAGATAACCTTCTTGACTGTCCACTATACAACTAACTTTGGTGATTTATGCAAACTTAGTAACCGTTCCTACTGTGTTCAAGTCCAAATCATTTGATGTAAATGACAAAAACCAGTAGATGCAGCACCGATCCCTATGGTACAGCGCTAGTCACAGGCCTCCAGTCCGAAAAACAACCCTTCACCATCACTCGATGTCTGCTACCTTCAAGCCAATTTTTTATCCAAATGGCTAGCTCTCCATGGATTCCATGTGATTTAACCTTGGTTACAAGTCTACCATGCGAATCCTTGTTGAATGTTTGCTGACATCCGTATAGACAATGTCCACTGCTCTGCCTTTATCAATCTTCATTGTCACTTCTTCAAAAAATATCTCAATCAAACTAGTGAGACATAATTTCCCACACAGACAGCCATTTTGACTATCCATAATTGGCACTTGCCTTTCCAAAAGCATGTAAATCCTATCCCTCAAGGTCCCCTCCAACAACTAACCACCATTGACGTCAGGCTCATTGGTCTATCATTCCCTTGCTTTTTCTTGCCACTTGTCTTAAATATTCGCAGTACAAAAACTACCGTCCAGTCTTCCAGCACCTTGCCTGTGGCTGTCCGGGGTACAAATATTTCAGCAATTATTCCGATAGCTTCCCACAAAGTTCTGGGATATAAGTGATCAGCTCCCAGAGATTTATTCACCTTTATGCATTTTCAGACATCCATCACCTTCTCCTCTGCAAGGTGGACACTTCTAAAGATATCACTATTTATTTCTCCAAGTTCTCTAGTTTTCGTATCTTTCTCCATAGTAAATATTGATTGCTTGTTTCAGGGTTTGAGTGAAGATTTGCAGCTCGGATGCTGGTTGTAGATGTCAGTGTGTTAGCCAATCTGGGATGTTTGCTAGTAGACCTTTTGTCCCCTTACAAGGTGATATTCTCAGAACTGTGGGGCCTCCTGTGAAGAGCGCTGCTGTCTTGTGCCGATACAAATTTATATGGTCCGGTTTTTGCGGCTTCTGGTAGGTTCCAGTTCCAGTTGTGCATTGTAATGTTTGGTATATCGGGTCTAATTCAATGTGTGTGTTGATAGAGTCTGCAGAGGAATGCTACGCCTCCAAGAATTCAATGGTTGTCCTCTGTTTGGCTTGTCCTATGATAGTTGTGTTATCTCAGTTGAACATATGGTTTTTCTTGTCTGTGTGTATTGAAACCAAGGAGATCTGGTCGTATCGTTTATTTACTACCTCGTGTTCATGGATGAGGATTGCTAGTTGTCTGCCTGTTTGTCCCACGTAGTGTTTTGTGCAGTTTCCGCATGGTATCTTGTAAACCACATTCGTCCTGTCCATGGTTATCGATTGTGTCTTTAACCCTGGTCAGTTGCTGTCTTAGTGAGTCTGCCAGTTTGTGTGCTGTCATGATTCCCAGTAGTCTGGCTGTCAGTTCTGAGATTTTTTTTATATATATGGAATGGTGTATTTGTTTCGGGTTTTTGTGTGTCCAGGTTGTGTTGTCTGTTGGCTAGGCATCTGTGGATGAAGTTGCAGGGGTATCCATTCCCGGTAAAGACCTTGCAGAAGTGTTCTTCTTCTTCCTTATGCGGTTCAGGTGTGCTGCAGTGCGTAGCGGCCCTTTTGAACAGGATCCTAACGCAGCTTCTCTGTGTGAGTTGAGGTGGTTGCTGTGATAGTTTAAGAGCTGGTCAGTAGGTGTGGAGTTCCTGTATACTTTTGTAGTGAAGTCACCGCTCCGTTTTCTTTCCACCATCACGTCCAGGAATGGAAGTTGTTGTTGTATCCTCTTCTCCAGTAAATTTGATCCCTGTGAGTATGATGTTGATGAGTCAGTTGGTGTTCTAAATTTCTGTTCTTTTCATGATTACAAAAGTGCCATCCACTGATCAGATCCAGGGCTTGGGTTGGATCTGTGGGAGGGCTGTTTTGGTTGATTGATTGATTTGATTTGCTTTATTGCCATGTGTGCCTAAGTACAATGAAAAGATGTGTTTGCGAGCAGTACAGGCAGATCATAGAGTGAGAGAAAAAAAATAACTTGGACAGTGTAAGGCATACAGCTTACTTTGCACACACGTATATGAGGCAAGATCAACATTCACAAGATCAGCATTTATTGCAGTTAGAGACTCATTCACCAGTCTAATAACAACAGGGAAGAAATTGTTATTGTACCTCCTGTTGTGTGTCGTCAAGCTTCTCTACTTTCTGCCTGATGGAAGAGGTTGCAGGAGAGAATCACCTTGGTGAGATGGGTCTTTAATGATGTTGGTAGCCTTTCAGCGGCAACAAGACGTGTAAATGTATACCATGGATGGAAGGTTGGCTTCCGTGATTGTCTGGGCTATACACACAACCTTCTGTACGTTCTTACGGTCCTGGACAGAGCAGTTGCTGCACCAGGCTGTTATGCACTCAGACAGTATGATTTCTATGGTGCATCTGTAAAACTTGGTGAAGGCACTTATGGACATGCCAAATTTCCTGACCCTCCTGAGGAAGAAGATGCTTTGTTGTGCCTTCTTGAGGGTCCACGTGGGAAGTCCAGGACACATTGTCAGTTATCGTCACTCCTAGGAATTTAACGCTCTCAATTTTCTCAACTTCCGTTCCATTGATGTTGAAGGGAGAGGGGGGTGTTTTCCTCTTTTCTTTCTGAAGTCAACGATCAGTTCTTTAGTTTTGTCAATATTGAGAGAGAGGTTGTTATCATTGGACCACATCACCAGACTCTCTAGCTCCCTTCTGTATGCTGACACATTGTTGTTTGATATCTGACCTACCGCAGTGGTATTGTCAGCGAACTTGTAGGTGGCATTCGTTCCGAATTTGGTAACATAGTTGTGGGTGTACAGGGAGTACAGTAGGTGTCTGAGAACGCATCTTTGGTGGGGGTGTGGGGGAGGGGGGTGCTCCAGTGTTGAGTGTTATCGTCGAGGAGGTACCTTTGTATATCTTCTCTGATTTCCGTCTGTGGGTCAGAAAGCTGAGGATCCATTTGCAGTGGCCGGAGCCACGACCTAGACTTCGGAGTTCTGAGATCAATCTGGAGGGGATAATGGTGTTGAAGGTGGAGCTGTAGCCGATGAGTAGAGTTTGATACAGGTGTCCTTGTTATAAAAATGTACCAGGGCTAGGGATATGGCTTCCGCTGTGGACTTGTTATCTCGGTAAGAAAATTGTATGGGCATTGAGGCAGGTTAGGAGGTATAAAATACTTGTTTAGTATCTCATCCACCTCCTGTGATTCCACACATATGTGACCTTGTTCATCTTTAAGGGGTCCTCTTCTCTCCTGAGTTACTCTTTTGTGCTTAATGCATTTGTGCAATCTTTTCAGATTCTCCTTAATCCGATTTTCCAAAGCTGTCTCATGTTCCGTTTTTGCACCCTGCACCCCCACCCCAAGCCCGGTTTCCCTCTTGGGTATACTCTACTGCCCTTATAATCCTCCAGGAATTTACTCAATCCCAGCTGTCTATACCTGTGTATGCTTCCTTCTTTTTCTCAACTAGATCCTCAATTTCTCTAGTCATCCAACATTCCCTTCACCTACCAGCCTTTCCCTTCACCCTAAAATAACATACTGTCTCTGAACTCCTGTTATCTCACTTTCGAATGCCTCCCACTTTTCGGCCGTCCCTTTACCTACAAATTGATTCTCCCAATCAGCTTTACCAGATGCTTGCCAAGTACGTTCAAAATTGGACATCCTCCAGTTTCATACTTTACCACTTACATTAGGTCTATCTTTTACTGTAGCGATTTTAAAACTAATAGTTACTGCATAACAGGCTCGATAGGCAGAATGGCCTCCTCCTGCTCCTCTCTAACAGGCCTGAGAGGCTGAATGGCCTCCTCCTGCTCCTCTGTAACGGGCACGAGACAGTAAATCAGGCAACAACCATTGGACGATGAACAGCTGTTAAACTGGATCTAAAGGAGGTCCCTCCCTTCTCAATTACAGAAACACAAACATCACAATATACTCCAGGTGTCCTCTCAGCAACACCTCCAACAGCTGCAACAGTTCTCTATGTTTTGAATGATTCCCTTTGCAGAATGTGCCAACATTCCAGCTTTCCAATTTTTCCAGTGGTAATAGGCTTGTGTGGGCTAAATGGCCGCCTCCTATTCCTCCATAACAGGCACATGGGGAGAAATTGCTTCTGTCTGTTCCTGAGCGGCAGTCTCAGTGTGTTGAATGATGTCTCAAGAGTATGAAAGGATTTGATAACAGGGCACTTATGACGAGGAGTAGAATCACACAAAGTCAATGGGCAGTAAATATTGTTACCGTGGTTTATGGTCGCTAAAAAAATTCCCCAGCAGTCATTTTTTTTTTTGCAGCTGGTCTGTTACTTTATCCCTGTCTCCTTTTATAAACAGGGTGGGACATATCCAACCCTGCAGTGTTCTGTCACTACTCCCACATACAAGGAAGAAAGGTTAAAAAGATTGGAACATTTATGGTCCAACCCTCAGCAACCCTCATCCATTCCATCCAGACCGAGTAAATGCTCCCTTTTATTGTGATAAACAATGATGTAAGGGAGGAGTTAACTGAACCTGTTTGTTCAGTGACTGTGATTAATGTCGGTCTCCATGGATTCTAATCCCAGTGGAGGGTGTCCGTCTTTGAGTGATAAATGGGCTCCATTCAATGTGTTATCCCATAGTTTGAGCAGGAGCATGACCTCCTGCATCAACAGGAACCAGCAGCTCCAGAGAGAGAAGGGGGGAAGAGATCAGAAACTGAGCACACTAGACTGCAATGTTCCAACAATGGATCAAAATTTGATAACAACGGATTGGAATTATCCAACTCTGGACAGGACTTTATCCTTGTATGTCTGGTATCTTACTACAAATTATGATCAATCGTCGTTATCATTGCGGATACTTCTTGTAGTTTACATTATTCAATATTTTTATTATCCTTTCCTGGCTATCATTGGTGTTCCTGGTAAGTCTCACTGCGCAGATATTATTTCCATAAAGTGTGTATAGCGGTATTGCTGTAATTTTCATTTACTCTACACACCTTGCCACTGTTAATTTAATTTTTTAAATTCATTTGTGGGATGTGGGCTTCGCTGCCTGGCCAGCATTTCTTGCCTATTCCTAGTTGACCTTGAGAAGGTGGTGGTGAGCTGCCTTTTTGAACCACTGTAGTCCTCCTGCTGTGGGTTGACCCACAATGCTATTAGGGAGGGAATTCCAGAGGTTTGACCCAGCGACAGTGAAGGAACAGTGATATATTTCCAAGTCAGGATGGTGAGTGACTTGGAGAGGAACTTGGAGGTGATGGTGTTCCCATATATCTGCTGCCCTTATCCTTCTGGATGGAAGTGGTCGTGGGTTTGGGAGGTGATCTTTGGTGAATTTCTGCGGTGCATCTTGTTGTTAGTACACACTGCTGCTGCTGAGCGTCGGTGGTGGAGGGAGTGAATGCTTATTGATGTAGTGCCAATCAAGCGGGCTGGTTTGTTCTGGATGGTGTCAAGCTTCTTGAGTGTTGTTGGGGCTGCACTCATCCAGGCAAATGGGGAGTATTCCATCATACTCCTGACTTGTGCCTTGTAATTGATGGACAGGCTTTGAGGATTCAGGAGGTGAGTTACTCGCCACAGTATTCCCAGCTTCTGACCTGCTCTCGTAGCCACTCTGTTAGTGTGGTGAGTCCAGTTGAGTTTCTGGTCAATGGTAACCCCCAGGATGTTGATAGTGGGGGATTCAGTGATGGTAACACCATTGAATGTCAAGGGGCGGTGGTTAGATTGTCTCTTATTGGTGATGGTCATAGCCCGGCATTTGTGTGGCGTGAATGTCACTTGCCACTTGTCAGCCCAAGCCTAGATATTGTCCAGATCTTGTTGCATGTGAACATGAACTGCTTCAGTATCTGAGGAGTCGCGAATGGTGCTGAACATTGTGCAATTGTCGGCGAACATCCCCAATTCTGACCTTATGATGGAGGGAAGGTCATTGCTGAAGCAGCTGAAGATGGTTGGGCCAACGACACTAACCTGAGGAACTCCTGCAGAGATGTCCTGGAGCTGGGATGATTGACCTCCCACAAGGCCGACCATCTTCCTATGTGTCAGGTATGACTCCAACCAGAGGAGCGTTTGCCCCCTGATACCCATTGATTCCAGTTTTGCCAGGGCTCCTTGATGCCACACTTGGTCGAATGCAGCTTTCATAGTAAGGGCTGTCACTTTCACCTCACTCTCAACTGCTAAGACGCTGAATTTAGATATTCAATCTGCAAACCACTACTAACTGCATCAGTCAACTTGTTAATTTACTTTCTCCCTCTTAGTTTCTGGCAATTTTCCTTGCATGTCTCTATGTTGCCCGAATCAGTTTCAGTTGTGAATCGCGATTCGTTGCATCACTGCACTGTTATTTAAATACTGGGAGCATGGAGGTCACTGTCTTCTGTTCTGGTTACTAACTCCATTTCCTTTCTCTGACTCCAACCCATCCCTGGCCGATATCGGAGGCTGAAATAGACGAGTCACAACAGTGGTAATCTTGTTGGTCATGAGCTAATTCTTATCACTGTACCCTGATCATTCCCATTTTAACTAATGTAATCCACAGAATATGGTTCACTGGCTCATACCATTCGCTATTTGAACCTTGAGCTATGAAATACAGTCTTAATCATGCCATTAATCTGCTGCTGACATTCCCAGCTTCAAACCTACTGAAGAAAATGTGAGTCAATAATCCATGTCTCGTATCCGAACTCACACCAAAATCCCATTCACCCATCATTCCTATGTGCACTGATAAATGTTGTGTTGGGTCTGGAAATGCCCTTTTTTATAATATTTTTCAGCACATCAAATCATCTGTCCATGAAACGTCCCTCAGTCTCTCTGTCGATTACCCACACCTCTGCAAGTTGTTCATATTTAAATTGATTTCCTCCATGCGTGTTCTCTCTCAAACAATTTTTACATGTGTAATTATCCACAACATCCCCGCCAACACACACACCACACACACCAAACACACACACACACACACACACACACACACACACACACACACACACACACACACATGGAGACCCCTTTCACAGCAGGGGCTGCAAATTTCCCGGTGCTAGGCAAGTATCTAGTGCATGTGTAGCAGCAAAGTACTGGCAAAAGTTTGCAATGCTCTCATGCTGGGCAGGTAGTCTAGTTTGCTGGGCAACACACTCGCATGGTCTGCACAGATTTCCGTGCCAATCTATCATCTTGTCCCCGGTAATGTTGCTTGGGCACGTCTATGAGGCAGATTCAGAATTCGATGTGATGAACTGTTTCAGCTGATCTGGCAATGTCTTCATTCTCAGAGGGCGCTGCTGAGTAGTGACTGAGGAGGATTCTGGGAGGAGTCAGCTCAGTCACCAGCGACCACTCAGCAACGATTAAAACGGAGACAAGCTGGAGGAGAGCGGCCATTTTGGGATTGGCCATTTTGTGGAGAGTTATTTTGTGTTTGAAGTGCTTTTGGAGGCTGTAAGAGGGAAAATATGAGTGGAAGGCAGAGAAACCAAAGACAAAAATTAAAAAGTCGCAAATGATATCAACATTCTAAAAGGGCAATAAATTACCCTGAGTCTCAGTGTGAGGAAAATTTATCATAAGGTAGATGAATAAACAGCACATAGTTATTAATGGGTATGACGTAATTAGAATCACGGAGACCTGGTTTCAGGGTGACCAAGGATGGGAACTCAAGTTCCATGGAATTTTAATTTTCAGGAAAGATGGACAGAAAGGAAAGAGAGGTTGGATTGTGTTGCTGGTTAAGCAGGAGATTAACACAACAGTGAAGGAGGGCATTAGTCTGGAGATTAGGATCTGTAAGGGTGGGTCTGCAGAACATCAAAGGAAAAAAGACTTTAGTGGTACAGACCACCAAACAGTAGGTGTGAGGTTGGGGACTGTATCAAACAGGAAATTAGAGATGCATGCAGTAAGGGTACAAATATCATTATGGGTGATTTCAATCTGCAGATTGATTGGGCTAACCAAACTGGTAGCAATACGATGGAGGAGGATTTTCTGGAATATATGAGGGATGGTTTCCTCCACCAAAATGTCAAGGAACCAACTAGAGAGCAGGTCATCCTCGACTGAGTATTGTGTAATGAACGAGGACTAATTGGCAACCTTGCGTTGCGAGATCCTTTGAGGAAGAGTAACCATAATATGACAGAATTCTTCTTTAAGATGGAGAGTGTGTGACGATGTTGTCACTTGAAGAGATTATTTTGTCCTGTCTTTTTATTTTGAAGAGAGTTCATAAGGCAGAGGTGCCGAACTAGATGCATTAGACATCTTGAGTGAACAGTTTGGGAGTCCGTTGGTTTTTTAAACAGCCTGAATGGGTGTGGCCACCTCTAACAGATCCAGATTTTGTTTTACCGTTTTTTCTTTCAGTAACATCAGAAGATACTGGAGTCTCAAGAGTTGGTGTTTTGGTGAAGTTCTCTTGGCTGCTATTCTCTCTGAATTTTCACGACTTTTATTTTCGTCCTGGTTTGGAGAATTGCATGTGAGAATCTGTGTCTGAATTTTCCTTTTTGCCAAGGGGTCTATTGATGAGATTTCACTGTATTGTAACAGTTAATTATTAATAGGTGCTATACCTACTATTCAGTTAAGTTATTCTCAATTCCTCTTTCTTTGTTTGTATTTTGTTTACAGTGTTTAAATATATTGTGTTTTGAGTAACATCGAGTAGCTTGACCAGTCGTATGGCATCTGAGACACTTTAAATTTGCCTTTAAAATAAGAGAAAGTTAGGATATAGTCCACCTACTTAAATTTTTTGGGGGATTTCTGATATGGTCCATAACAAGTGACATAGTTAAGTCTGAGAAGAGGGTCAAGAACTTAAAGCTCACTTGACAGTATGTCGCATGCATTGAATGGGATGAGGTGGCCAAAGATACTTAAGGGGTTGGTGGGAGATAGGCAAAGGCAGACATGTGAAGAACACCTGAATGAAGTTCAACAATTGTACATCCCTGTCTGGCGTAAGAGTAAAACAGGGAAGGTGGCTCAACCATGGTTATCACGGGAAATCTGGAATAGTGTTGAGGCCAAAGAGGAGGCATATGCTGTTGTGGTTGTTTGGCTCACGAAGCTGGTTCGTTATTCCGCTGACGTTTCATTACCCTGGTGGGTATCATCATCAGTGCAGCCTCAGATGAAGTGCTGTTGTGTTTTCCCGCCTGGTATTTAAACTGCGGTGTCTGTTGATTTGGATTACCTGACTTCCGGTTTTCCTTCGTATTGGAGTGTTTATAGGGTCGGTGTGGACTTGTTGGGCCGAAGGGCCTGTTTCCACACTGCAGGGACTCTATGACTATTTAAACGGGCAACAACATACTGCAGCAGCACAGAACTACGCGAAAAGAAGAAGAAGAGTACCTCTTCCAGGTTTTCCAAGATAATGGATATCCAAAAGACTGGGTCAGAAGAAGCCTACACGAACAACACTCGGAAGATACTACGCGCCCCGACACATTCATCACGCTACCTTACATCAGGAACACATTGGAACTAACTCACCCGAACCAACGACCCATTTCCCACAATGGACAGGACCAATGTCATCTGTATGATTCCCTGCAGAGACTGTGACAAACACGACATCGCACAAACAGGAAGAAAATTAACAACAAGTGTACATGAACACCAATTGGCTACAAAAAGACACGACCAATACTCATTCATCTCTGTCCACATGGATAAGAAATACCACCAATTTGACTGGGACATCACCAAGACCCTGGGACAAGCAAAGCAGAGACAGGCACGGGGATTCCTAGAAGCCTGGTTCTCCACAAAGAAAGTCATTAACAAACACATAGAACTCGACTCCATATACACTCCTCTATAAAGGAAAACCGGAAGTGAGTTAATTCAGCTCAACGGACTCCAGAGTTAAAAA